TAGTCCACAAACACACCTCTACGTTCTTTATTCCGTCTCCATCTGCATCCTCATCACACTGGTCTCCAATCCCATCATTATCTGCATCTTCCTGACCAGAGTTGGGCGTGAAGACGCAGTTGTCCTGAATAACACACAATATGAACATCCCTAGTGCAACACTTCAAGCAAGAGCAGCATAAAATCCTGCATTCCGACATGGGAAAGATTTGGGACCGCAAGCTACGATGAATCTATCATATAAAAGTCCAAACACAAACGCAAAAACAAACTTGGTTTATGTAAACGCATTACCTCATCTAGGATGAATAGCTTAATTTCCCTGAAAGGTACAGCATGTACGGACAATTGTGCTTGAACTGGAAAGAATCAAGTCTATAAACCATCAGAATAAATAGCACAATATGGTTTCCCAATAATTATAAAAAGCCACATCGATTTAGTGAATGTTTATACAGCATCAGTGTGTGCAGGGAGAAGGATTGTGGGTAAAATGATTGTGAGTTTCAGACCTGTTTGCAGTGCTTGTCGTTGTCCATGCAGGGCAAGGAGCGATCCGGATAACCATCAATATCCGTGTCCTTCCCACAGGTGTGACCGTTACCAGCCCATCCGACATTACACTAATAGAATCATACAAAAGTTCACCAGAAAACTTGAGAATGATGCAATAAAGATATCATACAGATAATATGATACTGATAACAGAATTTTCATATTTGGTTGAACTACCACTTTAAGAATCTATCCAATACATTCTGATTGGATGTGATTGTGCGACAAACTGCAATCTTTCCCTGAATTCTTTACACATCGCATCTAGTTAGGACACAATGTATGTGTATTGTGTAGACATACAGCGCAGGTGACGTCGCCGTTCCGCTGAATGACGCAGTGAGCGTTACCGTCACAGGGGTTGAAACTGAGCGAAGCGCACGATTTCCGAGGGAAACATCCAGCTGTCTGATTTCCAACATATCCAACCTTGCACTGACCGCATCGATATGATCCCTAAGAAGAGAGAAGAAGTTAAAAACATTAACATATACACTTTGTATGATTCCAGAGAAAAAGTATTGGAGTTTTTATGACTCATACTCACAATGGTGTTGATGCAGATGGAGTTGGGTGTGCAGGCATTGGCCAAATCAAGACATTCATCAAAATCAGAACATTCCTGAAACAAATTCATCAGAAAAAGACACTAGTTGCTGCATGTTTTACTATTTTGCTATCTAATGCATTCAGGCATTTTTAAGTGTCGTAATAATTTTGGAGCCACTGGACCTAAAGGTGACTCTTGGCATATAGTACACCGGCATTCAAATTTGAATTACAAACATTTGAATTACGCATTTCAGTTTGCCATTTTTGATAGTCCAGCTGCTTTCATCTGCTCAAATAAGTGGTGGATGAAAAATAATGAATTATAGGCAAAACAAACAAAAAAA